TTGAAAATAGGCACTTTCATTAGTATTTTGAGTCATGGTAGATCTGAAAGACTATTTCATCTCCTCATGCTTTATCTTGACACTTAATATTATGTGAGACCAAGTCTACACACTGTACACATCTTTATCTAAAATTGGCTTCAAAAATGAAATACTGCTGCCATTCTGGATATGGATAACCTTATATCAGTTTCAGCCAAGTTTACTTGGGCTTTGCTTGTGTTTTAAAACTTAGTAACATATACATGTGAGGTTTACAATGACAGTTATCCACAGAAGAACTTCTATCAGTTTCAGACATACACATTAGTATAACTTAAGGCAGTTACACCCTAAGATGGTACTTATATATTAGACCAGTAGCTCAGTGACGCCCTCATTTATCGGCTTATCAGTGACTGTTGACAAACTGGCATCTTCATAATGGGACCCACACCTCTGAAGTGCACCTAAATTGTTAGGAGACCCTGACATTTTCCATCTGTGTCCCATGTTCCTGTGCAAATTTTGTTTCGTGATCTCTTTGAGTCCTGTTGCAATCACTTCTTGATTACTTATACTGGAATTTATGTGATGTTTATGGTGCATCTTGAGGTAGTGGTAGTTATATTTTATCACCTGGAAAATAAAATTGACACAGGCCTTTAAATATCAAGGAAAGCAGAGTAAAGGCTGTCAGCTTTCATTATATTTATCCACTGTGCTTCATCCAGCCTCTTGTACAATTCCTTCATCTGCTGTCCCAGAGGGATGAATTAAGAATATGAGGTTCGTTGTAACTTTGTCAGGTGAAGCTCTGTCCTCACCGAAGCCAAGGACAGAAATTTCACGGGTTTCATTTGGACTACATTTTCATGTTGTGTTTTGCTGCTGTTTTTGCAACTTTATTACTGTCAAAATAGTAGTAGTGCTCTTCTATGGATACTTTTAGGCAAAGACTGGCTGAAACTTGGCCAATGTGTAGGAGCGACAGGGCACAGAACCGGGGAGGGAAGCGGGTTAGCATCATTCAGTCTGTGTTTAGAATGCAGTTTTAGGTATGAGAGAAAAAATAAACTCAGTTATTCTACAGTAATGTTGTTATTCATAATATTGCTAGAAATAAATACTTGCCAGAACAGGGTCCGCTTATCAATTTCTCGTACTTTTCAAGAAACTGCATATTTAGAATATATGGACCTGTAATTCCAAGGTTTCTGCATAGTTCATCTCCTCCTAGTGTCTTGGCTTTAAATCAAGGAAAGAATTATTTTATAGAGGATTTATTTGTAGCTAATGTTAGTTGTATAGCTATATATTGCTGCTTTAGGCTTTGTTATGTTCCCCTAAATCATGCAGACAGTGCATTTGTTATTTAAATATGAATATCTGACAAACATATTATGGACTTAAGAGTGATTAAAGCACAATACCTAGAATGTGCTAAAATTAAGTGCTTTGACTCTTTGCCTCTATCGCAAAGGATTCCTGAATTGAATTGTCTGGCTGAAAAAGCAGCTTTAAACCCCCAAAACTTTGTTTGTACTCTACTTAGCATGTATTTAGTGGGTGCTAGAGGAGCTCAGTCAGTCAGAACTGTCAGAAAGGTTTTATTAATGTGTGCATAGTATTAAAAAGAACTATGTTTGAATGCATGCATGAGGTTTTTGTCTTTGTTTTTCTTTAAATAATCTCTTAAGTCTAGCTCTAGGAAGAGCTATAATGGAAATGCAGAGCAAGTCCTGTAAAACACAGTTCAGTCCATGGAAGGATTACAGCTACAGAGTAGACATTTGGATATAAACAGAGTAAAAGGAACATTTCTTGAGTCCCTAAGGATATTTCACGCATTTCCTTGGAGTGGGTGAAGAAAACCTATTTGCCTTTGAATTTCTGCAGGGTAGTACTGGTACCAGAGATACTCAAGAGGGATTGAGATGCCTAAGCAGTGAGTTTCTTTGGAGTGTAAGCCAGAAGAAAGCCATTTCTCTACCCCTGTTGCTCCAATGATGATTTTCACAACTGAAAACTAAATGGCACAATTTTTTTATTCCTGAGAATACACTGTGCTGCTGCTGCTGCTCAGCCTTTATCATTGCCAATAAAATTAATAAGTAGCAAGCTTCTCTAATGTCACTGTGGTGTTTCAGGTACCCATGGGCAGCAAAGAGGCTGGTAGGATTTGAACTGACTTTCCTTGCTAGCAGCAGAATCATGCTGCAGCCAGCACAGGCGGGAGAAGTTTTTTCATTAGCAATTTACATTCATCCACCTCTCTTTCATCCCACTTCCTTTTCTAACTGTACCTGGTTAATAATCGTTATCTCTCTGAGATTAGAGTACTGAATAAACTTTCCAGTGATATTCAAATGCAGCACTTCAGTGAAATGGAGCATTTTAAACAACACACAAAAAGTTGATCCGTTTTCATAGCTACACGTTCTTTCATTTATACCACCGACCCCACAGGTACAAAGCTTCCATGTCTGGCTATGTAACCACTTGGCTGTTACCCCCCAGGCTCCCTGTGCTGGCTCAGGTGGACATTTCTGTCCTGGCTCCTCACCAGATCTTTGCTTTTCTATCTAGACATGCCTGGAGCACATTGCCAGTTGCAACCTATTTCCATTGATTTCAGGGCACTTGACCCCATACGTGCTTGCAGACAAGCACACTTGTTCTCTCGGATGAACATGCATGCACAGTGGGGTTTATTTTTCTTCTTTTTTTTTTTCTTTTTAATGTGGTGTTGAAGCCAACATGAATGCTTAACCTCCTAAGCAATGCTTGCTGGAATTAAACAGGGCTGTCAAGAGCGAGGAAATTGTTAAATGCTGGGAAAAGACTTCCAAAAGGCCCGATGCCTTGGTTTCCCCCAGCTACAATCCGTAGTGGTGTGCGGAGCTGCTCACTGGGAGGAGAATGGAGTTGGCAGCTGTCCTTTGGGGCAGGACCATGGTGGCCTTTAATGACAGTCATCAGGAAAGTGGTCTCGCTTATTCAAGTAGTATTAACTCAGTTGGGTGACAGTGTTTAGTACAGAGAACATGGTTGTTTGTGGGATTTTCTTCCTTTTGATGATAGCCCTGCTCTCACATAGATTTGAATTCTGCACTCAAGTGTAGAAACACTAAATATACAAACCAATAGAGTATTTATACAGGCACTTAGCCATCAAGCTCTGAGCTGGTGACGTGGAAAGATTTGATTTCTGTGTACAGAAGAGAAATGTGTGTGTGCAGATGCATGTTGGAATTGCCTTCAGCGCGTTTGGAAATTTCATACCTAATTTCAAAACAGTACTAATAAATATGTTGATTCAAATGAGGAAAGCAAGCTTTTTCTCTTTCAGAAAGACTTCGTTAAAATTCAGGAAGTCAAACTGCTGAGGAGTTAGCACTAGGATTTATAAAACAACATTGAAAGAGAAGCTTAATTAACATTTCAGTACCCTTTCAATTGCACTGAATGCGTTTCTGGTGTATCACCCACCTAAATATGTTAGTTTGTATTTGAAGAATGCTTGTGACAGTGAGCCTTCAGGATAAAGCTCAGCTTTTTCCTATAATCTCATTACAGCATTTGTATATTTTATTTGCTTGCTTTGACCTTGGATAATATAGAGAGAATATTCCGTGTATACATCATGTATTTCTGGGCATCAATACTTGAGGTTGATTTAACTTTTAATGTAGCTTTAGCTGGAATTTAAGTTTTTTGTGGTTTTTTTTTTTGCTTTTGGTCAAAACAGCGTACACCCTGTATTAGTAAGTTGTGTATTGATGGATGAGCACACACAGGATGGCAGTGCACACGAAAGCAAGTCATCCCAAATAAGGATGCTGCTCTTCATTCCTTAGGATAGAGTGAAGAAGTAGCAGCTGCTTTTCTTTCTCTCCCTGAAGAACATAGTGATAATAGAAATGGGATATTAAAAAGGGCAGCATAGATTAATGGGGCAATAATAAAACAAATGAGACCCATTAGCGAAATCACTGCTTGAAAAGTAGATTCTGTGATAAGTGCCCTTCAGTGCCTTGTGGAGGGAAAATTGTTTCAGCACTTGTAATGTCATCCATGGTGTTGGATTTTAGACTATTGTGACAATCTAAGTGATAGGATCTTAAAATAATTTAAATGAAGATAATCTTCATTTGTACTTACTGCTTGGTAGAAAACTTGAATTATTAAATATAAATGTTGAAGACAAGGTTTTTTTTCAAACCCAGTCAGAAAGTTTTTGCATGTTCCCAGAATCTTTCATCAAAAAACAAAGAAATTTTTTGATGTTCTGTTAAGCCTGTAAGGTGATCATGAGAACTTGGAAAGCCTACTTTCATTGCTGGAGCACCGGTGCTGTGGGGACTGATGTTCAGACTTTGAACTGGCATCGGTGGCTGTAGCAACATGTCCTGTTTTTCAGTTGTTGATTTTATATTAGATTAATGATGAAAGGTGTGTATTGCACTTAAAATGTTACACGTTTGCTCTCTGCATTTTAGACCAGACAGTTTTCTGAAGCATTTAATGAATAGGGAAAATACACTTAGTTTCTGAGATTTGTAGAGTACGTTGTCTCTAAGGAGAAAAGTGTTTGGGTTTTAGAGATAAAATAAGTTCACAAACCAACTTGTCAAAGCCAAATATATTAGTTTGAAAGTGCTCTTTCACTGATCTTCAGGAGATAGTGGGTCCAAGTCTCCGAATTGTCACATTTTTCTTCCCTTTCTTCCTCTAGAAATGCATGGCTGTATTGTGGTAGGGTTTAATTTTTAATTTTTTTTTTTTTTTCTCCAATGTAATTTTGTTAAATCCAAGCTCAGAGTGTAAACACTGAGCAATACATGTCTTGTAAGATGCTCAGGGGAGCAGGGCACGGACACCCTGAGCACTGTGCCTCCGCTGTGCACCGACAGCGCATCCCATCCAGCAGTGGGAGAGGAGGGCCGGGAGGCGGCTGTTGCTATCGCTCTGATGTCAGGCACTCTCACTAACGTGTGGTTGGTTATTCTGCATTTCAGATCGCTGCCGGTAGCAGAGCGCAAAGGGAACGGCGAGACTCCCACATCTTTCAGCGAGAAGAAAGGAGTCAGCGGAGCAGACTAATACGGACTTGTGTCGGATGCCCTTGCCCTACAAAGGCTGCCTTTAAAAGAGAAACGCAGTGTTATTTAATGAGCTGTGAGATGAGGCACTGCTGCTAGCGCTCAGATCCCAGGATTCATCGGCTATTCATTGTGCTTAATGTACATGTTTCTGCACCGTGCATTTAGGAGATCCCAGAGAAGAATCCAAAACGGCTGCGGGGGAAAGACCACCAAACATGCCTACAGAAACATTACCGACAGGTAGCATGGTGAAGCCGGTCAGCCCTGCCGTGACTTTCACATCCGCCGTTCCTCTCCGCATCCTGAACAAAGGACCCGACTATTTTCGCAGGCAGGCGGAGCCTAATCCAAAAAGACTGAGCGCAGTGGAGAGGCTAGAAGCCGACAAGGCAAAATATGTCAAGAGCCAGGAGGTCATCAATGCCAAGCAGGAGCCTGTGAAGCCGGCAGTGCTGGCGAAGCCACCAGTCTGTCCTGCAGCCAAGAGAGCACTGGGAAGCCCCACCTTGAAAGTCTTCAGCAACAACGCAAAGACTGAGAGTGGCGTCCAGAGGGAAAATCTGAAACTCGAGATTTTGAAGAACATCATCAACAGCTCTGAAGGCTCCAGCTCAGGCTCAGGGCATAAGCACGGTCCCCGAAATTGGCCACCCCACAGAGCTGATTCAACAGAGCTGAACCGACACTCGTTCGCCGAGTCTTTGAAGGTTTACCCCACGCAGGGCCGTAGCAGCCCACAGGAGAGCAGCTCCAACGTCAGCAGAAGGCTCCTAGATCAATCGGCAGAGACTTTCTTGCATGTCTCTCACAGCTCTTCAGACATTAGGAAAGTAACTAGCGCAAAGCCCTTAAAAGCAATACCCTGCAGTAGTTCAGCCCCACCTCTGCCTCCAAAGCCCAAAATCGCTGCCATTGCCACCCTGAAATCCCCAGAGATTGAGGCAGTCGAGTCTGGATGTGGAGTTAGTAGAAGACCCTCCCTACAGCGATCAAAATCAGACTTAAGTGACCGATACTTTCGCGTCGACGCAGATGTTGAACGATTCTTTAACTACTGCGGACTGGATCCTGAAGAGCTTGAAAACCTCGGGATGGAAAACTTTGCAAGGGCTAACTCTGATATTATATCCCTCAACTTTCGCAGTGCAAGCATGATTAGCTCAGACTGTGAACAGTCTCAGGACAGCAACAGTGACCTTAGAAATGATGACAGTGCCAATGACCGTGTGCCATACGGTATTTCTGCCATTGAAAGGAATGCCAGAATCATCAAGTGGTTATATAGCATCAAGCAAGCTAGAGAGTCACAGAAAGTGTCCCATGTGTGAGAGAGAAATCCACCATAGAAAAAGCAAGGACTGTATCTTTGTCTGTGAATATTCAGTTTGTGAAGGGTTGTGAAGTCTACTTGAAGTCTTGTACCCTTCTCAAATCTCTTTGTGTTGCTTGTTGTGCAATGTTTCCAAGTTGCATGCCTGTCAACATGTGAGCTGACCTGGCTTCCACTTGAACAATAATTAACTACAAAGCCTGGCTGAGCGTACACATTATCTGCCAAAAGTTTAAGACAAGAATCTGATTAGGGCTTCAGTATAATCAAAGTGTTTACATGAAAAGGTTATATGACTTCTTTGGTATTTATGTGGTTCCTTGTGGATTTTATATATGTCACTTTTTGTCTTAATACAGATATTGTCAACTGATGTTACCAGTTTCTAACTTGAAACAGAATCCCTTTTTGGGGGAAGGAAAGCAAAATTGGCCAAAATAAGATGTTTAGGCATATGACGATAGGCAAAGCAGCCTTATCTTTTGTAGAAAGTGCGTTATTGGCACATGAAAGCTGTTTCTAAAAGGCAAAGAATGCTATGTTCTTAAATTATGTATCGTTGTTAAACTATATATCCCTACTTGTAGTAAGGCACTGTTCTGTAAAGGTTTCTTTTTTCTAGGTAAGTTCCTTCCGTTTTACAGCAGAAATAGTCTAGTGATTCTTCTTGACCTCTCATAAACTAAATGAGTCTTGCATTTGGATTGGTGGAAGCATTTTTAATGATTTTGTACTATCCCGGTTGGAAATTTCAGCTTAAAGAAGGTCAGAGGGAACAGACGGCACAGGTGTGGGATTTTGTGGGTTTAATTTTTACTCAAAGATTCCTGGTCTTAAACTTTTGACAGGAATAATTAGATCCTATAGCTGATATTGAATGCCTTTATTAGTCAAAACACATCATGACTACAAACTCCATGCTGTCTTTTAATTTTTTTTTTTTAGAACTTTTTGAACAGTTAATGAACAAAAATGGAAACACACAGCCATATCAATATAACGCCTCCTATTCAGAAGTAAATACACTCAGTAGCTGAACTATATCTGAAAAAATGTGATTATGTTGTCTTGCATATATTATATCTAAGGCTGTGAGGGTTTGTTACAGCTCTAGGAAAGTGTAGAAACATGACAGTATGTAGCTTTTTTCTTTTTTTTTTTTTTTTTTTTTACCTCCTTAACATGGTTAGTGCTGCAGATCGACCTGTTACAAATCTTTTGACAATCTGTGTCTTCCCAGTGGTTTAATTAACTGTCATTTGAACTGACAGTGGTGGTGTGGTAGTCGAGAAGTTGAAAGTACAGTGGTCTGCTTCATTATTATTGTATACATGCTTTGAAGTAAATTGCAGCACTACCTTATACTACATCAGCTAATAGGAAACTTTTTTATTGTGTAAATGCTGTAAGACTTTGTATATACTTTAGTTGTTACGAAATCTTTAAAAGGAAGAGTGTTATGCTAATAAATAGCTCCTGGTGCAGGTATGGTAGGTTTTTTGTTCTTTTTTTGACCCCCTTCCATTCTTAAAACTATATCAGGAACTCAATTGCAGTGTCTTTTAGTGCTGTAGAAGGTCTTGGTTAAATAATAGTTCCAGTAAAAGGTTTCTTTTACTAAAGTGCTTTTCAGAATATAATTTTTTATAAAATAACTATAGCAGCATGATCTGTCTGAAGAACTAGAAGCGGTTTTCAAGACTCCTAAAATAGCTTGCTTCTTCCTTACCTAGCAATGTTACTGTTCCCGTTTATAGCATCTGTTCATAATGAATCACTGCAGTCTTCTGAATTATTCTTCAGTAGTGCTTATTTATATATTTGAATATTAAAGATGTTTTACAAAGTCGGGTTCTATCTTTTCTCTAAGAGGCCTGTAGCCCAACTTCTTACAGCTACAGTTAATGCAGGCGAGACTGGAAGTGGAGCCATGTAGTTGTTTGTTGCCTATGGTATTATCCTGCATCCAGTTTTATATAAGTGTTCTCCAAAGGATTGTTCGTGGAGGGGGGAAGCACACACTCAGTTCCAGCACGCATTCAGTTTCAGGAGGCTACTCTATGATTTTTACAGTTGACTTCACAACCTAAGACTTACTACATTCCTAGCTCGGGCAAAAAAATGAGGAGCTCTGTATTTCAGCTACAGGCACATTTGTGACATTTCAAGCTCCATGGGTTTCAGTTGACATTGACATCACACTGGTTTTTCAAGCATATTTTTCCAATAGTAAGTTCTACTCAGTTCAGTGACTATTTTGCCAAGGAAAATAATGCTTAAGGGATTAAAGCCAAGTGTAATGCAGCTGTACAGCAATGAAATAAAGAAGTTAAAACCAAAATAAAAAATACACTCACATTGTTCTCTCTCAAGTGTTTTAAGAATGATGATAAACATGCTATCTCAAGTGTTGTCAGCCAAAAACAGTAATAAAGAAGCCTTTATAACTAGAAAATGGATTAGAGCATATCCTAGTATTCTGAAGTGCTTTCCCAAGGTTTGTTGGGAAGCCACAGGCTCTTGAGAAATCAAATTCATTTCCTTTTAATCCACAGAGGGTTTAGGCTTGTGAGCTATCTCTAAGAGAGCATTTCCTCACCTGAGATCTTAGGCAGCACCTTTGAAACAGCACAGGCTCTGCGTCCACTATCGCTGCTTTTTACAATGTGCACATGAATAAGACTTCACAGGACTTACAGACTTTACAGGACCTTCACAATCAGCTGAACTTGCAACTCCAGTAAGAGTCAGTAATAGAAATAATAGGATTGCAAAATGTCCACAGGGCTTTGAACAAGCAGGTAAAAATTGCCTTCATTTGTCACTTTGTTGCCGTTTATGCAGGCAGGATTTATTTATTTATGTTCTTGCTGTTACCTGTACGTTTGTGTAAAACCCAGATCACTGGTGTCTGATCTGTTTTTGTATTCAGATGGGAGTAACCATTTTGCAGACAGGTAATCCTGTCATGTCAAGAGAGTCCATCATTTGTGTCTGCCTTAGGAGATTCCCAAGTGCTGATGTTGTATTCATGGAGAGTTGTAACCAACTCAAACGCTTCATCAGGGATCTGTTCTGGTCATGTTCTTGCTGTGTCCAGCAGGCATTTACCCTGGTACAAAGTGCACAGCAGGTGTTCACAGCTACGCAACAGCTCTTGTTGCAACTCTGGAGGGGGATTTAAGTCTGTTGTGTCCAGTACTGAGCCTGGCGCTGCCAGTCCTGGCTACAGCACTGAAGAAAAATGCAGTATGTCTTCAGTGATTAGTATGAACTCACACGCACACGCACACGAAAGAAACCACCACAGAGGTTTATGGTGGTACCTTGACTTGCCAGGGAGAGAAAGAGAGAGTAAAATGATGTGAGCAAGTACACTTTGAAAGCTACGTACAGCTTTGCACAGAGATAAACCATTTGTCTGAGTGAAAGAGATGGGCATCAAAGTAAAACTGGTCTTTTAATCACTTCATATTGTGTAGTAACAATGTCATGAAAGATGAGAGAGAGAGGATCTGTGCCGCAAATTTACATTCAACAAATACAAGTCCTGAAATTGTCTTTTTTTTTCTGAGTACTGTTTCTGCAAGGGAGTGCGTTGTGCTGCAAGTGTATGAACCATCTGAGTGACCGAGGGCTTTTGAAGGGTAAACACAGAATGATGATGCTTTTGGCAGTAATTCAAAAATCAAAAGGCACACTCAGACAACAGAGCCAATCAGTATTGCTGACTTACCTCTTTTTACAGCAGCTTATCCATCCGTGGAGGCCATACGCACTTGATTCCAGTCATTGAATGAAAAACAAAGTGCTTAATGGAGCTCTGCAGTACAGAGCTGAATAATTCCAATCCGTGGGAGAATGGGAAGGGAACTAAACCTTAAAAAGTCTTTCTGATATCTTTTGATTATGGGATGATAGTGTTTAGTATGTTGTATTCAGAGCTCACTTGTTCATAACAAACTTTATTAAGCAGAGTAGTCTAACGAATCTAGGAGGTTCCATTTTTCCAAGGCTATAAAACTCATGTTCTGTGTGATTAATGGTGTCACACTAGTAGCTGAGCACATTAGACTTAGAATATAAGAGCATCTGGAGCTTTGTTCCTATGAACAGTAAGGGTTCATTGCCTATTTTGGCGATGAATATAAATGCAGATAAAAATGTACTATATAGGAGAATAAATTGGTCAAGGTGTTTTGTCCTGAATTATAATACAACTCTATATCAAAATCGTTGTTAGCAAGGCTTAAACAGTCACTGATATTCTGAATTCATCTGACATTCCCTGCTGTCAGCAGAAAGACACCAATAATCTGCCCTTTGAAATATGTCACCCATAGCTTAATGGGAAAGGCCATTAAAATTGTCTGCTCAGTGTAAGGACTTTTATCTCCTGATGATGGCATCTGTTAAGTGAACCTCTAAATAAGCACATTTCAGTCAGAAGTATTAACCCCTAAATGCCTTTTATTTTTCTCCCTGGAAGCCGGAACGGTGATCAATAGCTACATCCTACTGTTTCCTAAAGTTATTGCATTACTGCTAAATACTCAGATGCTCTCCCCTGGGCTGCGGTGCAATCTAAAGTGGAGACACCTACATTGCACCATCTGTCTTGCCCTCGTAGGTATGAACAGCCTTCAAGCATATTTTACATTTGATCACGTAAGAATTTGGTTGTGGCTGCCCACCAAAACAATAAGTAGTGACTTTTCAAAAAAAAATAATGAAAAACAGTCATTTATAGAACAAAAAACTAGTCAAATGTTATTCTTCAAAATTTAAAGTAATTTTCATGATGATCTTATGACAAGAATAAGAGTGCTGGTATCTGTGCTATTATTTCTTGCTTCTGACACAGCAAGTTGTCTCTGTGTTCTTGGTGTCTTGCCTTTTCTGAGTTTTCCCCGCTTCCTTCTTCCTTTCTGCATGTTCCTTCCCTTGTAGTGTCTGGCTTTTTCATCATATTTTCTTTGAAGCTTATGACCAAGGTCATTATGTTCTCCTTACTTAACCTCCTCCCAGAGCAACTCTCCGCCGACTTGTTCTGTCTTTTATAATCACCATGTTCATGACAGCCAGTTACCAAGAGAGTAACTCCGTGGCTACAGTTGAGCTACCATGTCCTGAACAGATAGTAATCTTTTTAATGGCTTATTTTTTAATTTTGCTGGGTGTCATGCTATTTGCAGTCAAGATGAAACAGATAGAGGTTGTTCTTCAGGCAGACGTAGCGACTGGAAACACTTGTGAAGAACAGGGTGTCAAGCATATCTTGAAGCGTCAGTGTCTTGGTCCAAAATTGCCAGTATTTTTTGCTTTGCCTTATCTCTTGCTATTTTTTTGGCTCCACGTAAAATGCTATCTTGAGGACTGCAGCGTGCAAAGGTGATACAATTTCCACTGAACAGAATGGTGCAGGCCCATTATCCAAGAAATATTTATTGATTTCCCTTCTGCTGTTTATTAACAGGGTACCTGTGTGTCTTGCACCTCTGACATCCAGACCACTTGCGCTGCATGCACAGTTCCCAGGCAGTCAGTCAGTCAAAGAGCAAATGCCTAAAAAGACCCATGAAAAAAGAGTACAGTGGAAAATGCAGGAGGGGCAAAGCCTATCCTCACCTGCTACTGGGAGAGGCTTTCAGCTGTGGCAAGAGAAGTTTTAAAAGGTTTAGAAGCTGAAGTCCCCAGACTTCAGGCTGCCATCTCATGCCACCCTGGGGCTGAAGGTTCAGCACTTCAACCCTGTGTATGAGAAAAGGGTTTATCTGGGGGTCTGGGAGACAGCATAAATTGCTATATGGAAGAAGAAAGCACTTGCTGAAGCATGCTGCTATTTCAGTAAATACCTGCTACTCGTGTCTTAAAACATGAAAATGAGGAAAGAAAACAGGCTTGAAATTCGAGGAACAGCTGTGTATGCAAATGCTTTCAGATAAGATGCGGAGGTGGGCAAATATATAATAGTTATGCTTTTTAAGAAAGGAAGCTTTTAAAAAATCTTTTAATAAATGACCTGCTTTTCAAGTATATTAATCTTTTATGAAGTCTGTCTTGCTATTTTTTACTGTAAAAGCATTGCTACTCTGAGCACACAGCATTTAGAAATGTACAGGCAGTGATTTGGAGTGACTTAAATACTAGGACAGGAGGGTCCTTTGCTGAATGTAAACTTCATTTTACTAAAATTTTGTGCAGTGGTGGTTTTTTCTGTATTTTAAATTGATTGTGAGGGGCAGTAGAAAATTAGCATAATCTTATTTATTAATTTTGGCCTACAAATAAGACGGGGAAGTACAGGTTAATGTGTCTGCATGAAAACTGTAGTATTGGGTTTTGGCAAAGGCTTGATTTTCTTCATCCCTGTTTTGCATACCTCAGAGCATATCGGCTTACACGTATCTGGCACAGAACTCACTCATCCCATCTGAAAATGCCTTCTGCAAGCTTATGATTTTGTGTCCATCTGGTGAATTTTCTGCAGGGAAGATATTGAGGTGCTGGAGCATGTCCAGAGAGGGCAACAAATCTGGTAAAGGGTCTGGAGCACAAGTCTGATGCAGAGAAGCTGAGGGAGCTGGGACTGCTTAGCCTGGAGAAAAGGAGGTTCAGGGGGTACCTTATGACTCTACAATCACCTGCAAGGATGTTGTAGTAAGGTGGATGTTGCCACTCTTCTCCCAAGTAGCAAGTGACAGGACAAGGGGAAACAACCTCAAGTTCTGGCAGGAAAGGTTTAGACTGGATCACCAAAAAGGTTGTGAAGCATTGGAACAGGCTGCTCAGGGATTTTGTAGTCACCATCCCTGGAGATGATTAAAAGATATGTAGATGTGGCTACTCAGGGACATGGTTTGTGTTCACATGTGGTGAACTTGGCAGTGAAATTACAGGTTTGGGGGTTTTTGAATCCCTAATTCTATACAGTCAAACAGAACCAAAGAAGCTAATACAATGTGTGTATGTGTGCATGTATAGCTACATAAACACAAATAGAATAGGACCTGTAGCAATAGGACAAGGTGTAATGTTTTTAATCTGAAAGAAGGTAGAGTCAGATTAGGTATTTGGAAGAACTGTTTTACCGTGAGGATGGTGAGGCACTGGCACATATTGCCCAGAGAGGTGGTAGAGCCCCCATACCTGGAAACATCGAAGGTCAAGTTGGATGGTGCTCTGAGCAACCTCACTGAGTTGAAAATATCCCTGCTCATTGCAAGGGGATTGAATTCAATGGCCTTTAAAGGTCTCTTCTAACCAACCTAATCTGTGATTCCAGGTTTTCCCCACAGTGATGTAAGGAAATATCAAAATGTGTCTGCATGCTTTCATCTGTGAAGACCATGAAAAAA